TTGGATAGATTTTGGTTTTTTTAGTTTAGGTTTGTCCATGTCATTATGGACTTAAGTCTATTTATTTGCCACATATGCAAAAAGAGACTCAAAGCATTGTGGATGCTCTAAAAAGATAATCTACGACCTCAACGCGGTACTGATTTCCGAGATAACTTTCATCCATCACTTTGTGAGTTTTTTGCACTCATTCTCTCTCTTCGCAATCTCTCTCACGCACACTCTCACACAGTCAGACCTCCATTTTTCAACTACCTGAAAAACACTCCACTGCACCCCTCGCTCTCAATCTCCGATATCTCACAGAGTTATTCATGAAGCTTCAGCAGCAATTATATTTTGGCAGATAAGAGAACTAATTAGAAAAAAATTATATCTGTTTGTCAGTGTTCTTGTTGTGGCTGAGCTAAAAGTGTTACTATTAGTTCATGGACTCCAAATCCTTGAGGCTCATAGCCCACCAATCGTTTTTCTCCGCCGTCCGATCCGACGATCTCGAGGCCCTGAAGAAACTGGTCGAGAATGAAGGGTCGGATCCGTCTTTTCTGATGGCCCTTCAGAATGAGGCGAAGGCGACTGCACTGTACATAGCCGCCGAGAATAATTTCCTTGGGGTTTTCATGTATCTGCTCGGTTTCTGCGATTTGGATGTTGCGATGATGAGGGCTAAATCGGATATGGACGCATTGCAGGTGACCGCGTACAAGGGACACCTCGGTATACTCGCAATCCCTTTCTTCTTCTTTTTCCCAAAAGTTAGTAATTGATTAATTGCTTTGAGATTTTGGTATATGAGTTATACTTCAGCTTTGTTGCTCATAAGAACAGTTTTGTTTGGTGAGGGATTATTGTTGTTGTTATTATTAGCAACAGCATCAGCTAGTCTGCTTGCGAAAATCTTGTAATGAAAGAGTGTATATACCTATACCCGGCTCGATTCCGGATTAGTCGGTTCCCCTGTGGATCCGGAAACCGAAAGGTCCCTGTACCAAAAAAAAAAAAGAGTGTATATACCTTGATACATGTGACAAGATTGGGTATACAAGTGGTTAGCATGTTCTTGTATCGCTAAGTTACTTGTAATCTATTTTCAACCTGGAATTTTTCGTGTTCTTGTGACATTAAAATGAGAAATATTTCACTTTTTTATGAATCTTGTTTTACGGAGAAACTTCAGACAACATTCCTCAGTTAAAATATATTGCATCTTCTTTTATCTGAGTTTCTAAGTTTTACCTTTTTGTACACAGATATTGTGAAGGAACTTCTGAAGAAGTGGCCTGAGCTGTGTAGAGTGTGCAACTCGTCAAAAACGAGCCCTCTTTATTCAGCTGCCTCTCAAAACCATCTACAAGTCGTGAATGCCATATTGGATGTGGATGTGAGCACGGCAAGAATCGTGAGGAAGAATGGAAAAACTGCGCTGCACACAACTGCAAGATACGGGCAACTGGATATGGTTAAAACCCTTATAGGGAGAGATCCGGGGATTGTAGCCATCAAGGACAAGAAAGGGCAAACGGCCTTGCATATGGCTGTGAAAGGTCAGGACAGTTGCGTGGTAGAGGAACTACTGGAAGCTGACCATTCGATATTGAACGAACGTGACAAGAAAGGGAATACTGCATTGCATATAGCCACACGAAAAAGCCGTTCTCAGATAGTCACGCTTCTGCTCACATACCGCTCAGTTGACATCAACGCTATGAATGCCCAGCGCGAGACCGCGCTCGACATAGCTGACCGGCTCCCGTTCGGGCCCCACGCCCTCGAGATTTCCGAGTCTCTATCCGAGGCGGGCGGCAAGCACGGCGCCAGCCTGTTGAGTAGCGGCGGTCAGCCGCTCGACTCGGCGGAGCTGAAGCGCACGGTGAGCGACATTCGGCACGAGGTCCAGTCCCAGGTGATTCAGAATGAAAAGACCCAGAGACGCGTGTCGGGCATTGCAAAGGAGCTGCGCAAGATCCACCGAGAGGCCGTCCAAAACACCATAAACTCGGTCACGGTTGTTGCAGTCCTCGTTGCCTCCATTGCCTTCATCGCCCTCTTCAACCTGCCAGGGCTGTACAAAACGAATGGGCCTGAGACGGGCCAGGCCATGATAGCCCACAAGACGGCCTTCCGTGTCTTCTGCCTCTTGGACTCGACAGCACTTTTTATATCGCTGTCGGTCGTGGTTGTACAGATCACGCTGGTGGCGTGGGACACGCGCGCCCAGAAGCGGGTGGTGTCAGTTGTGAACAAGATGATGTGGGCTGCGTGTGTGAGCACGTGCGGAGCATTTTTGTCCATCTCGTTTGTGGTGGTGGGAAGGGATGGGTCGTGGATGGCTGATACGGTAACGGGCCTGGGCGGGCCTATCCTTGTTGGGACGCTGGCCAGTCTGTGTTACTTTGTGTTCAGGAAGCATTTCGGGAGTGATTCACAGAGGAGGATCAGACGAGCGAGCGGGAGCAAGTCCTTTTCGTGGTCATACTCTGCCAATGTGTCGGATTTGGATGATGACTTTAATTCGGATGAGAAGATTTACGCCTTGTGAGGAACCACCTCGGGTGGATGTGGGTTTTATAATAATGGTATATGTAAGACTCTTACTTACACTCTATTTGTTTGTGTGTGTAGCCGAATTTGTAGATATGCTGTATATGTGTGTGGGAGCGGTGGCCGATATTGATGGTTAACCGTGTGCATTATGGAGATTTATAGTTCATGAAACTTTCTGATGTGGAAGAAGGTGGGACTTAGTTTGTCTTTTGTGAGATGCGTATAGTTTGTTTGACAAATCCATTGTTGAGTCCACGGGAGTAAGTGACTATTCTCTAACATCAGACTTACTTTTCAGGTTTTTGATTTACCTGTCTCATAGCATTCAGCTTTTATTCAAAAACAAATATAAAACTTACAAGAAAAGATAAAAGGCGCCCAGTGATGTCTATGGCTTCCCCGTTATAGGATATTCTACTGCTGTTCGATAAGAGCCTCTCCAGCGCAGTGCCAGATGTGCTTTGCGCTGGAATAGCGAGAAATTTGCTCCCAATGCTGCGCCAGAATTTAATGCCAGTTGAGAGAGATGAACAGTGTTGCGCCAATGTTCATCAGCGCTATATATATATTTTTTTTTTGGTATTATTATTGGTAAATTTTTGTATAATGTGTATTAGTAAATGTATTTTTTATGTTAAATAATTTGTGCAATGTATTTTTATACTACATAATTTTGTGTTTTTTATTTATTGATGTATTATAATTTTATTTTGCAATTTTTTGATATCAAAATGACACCATATGAAAAAAAAAAATTTAACACACTCAAACAAGTTTATTTCATTAAAATTAAAGTTTACAATACACATAAATCATAGAACACGAATAAGAACAACATGATTAAAAATGACTTAACACACAAATAAAAACAACATACTTAAAGATGACATAAAATCAAAGGAACACACGAATAATTTTAGTAGTCTCCCAAACCACTCCAGACCCGCCAAGATCTAGAAAAAACTCACTGAAAGAACCAAGAGTGTTGCTGGCTTGTGATGACTGCGATCCTTCCCTTTTTCTCAGTATTCGTTCTTGCTCATTTTTAAAATATTCACGACGACGGCTATCTTGTATGGACTCCAAATCCATCATTAAAATTTTATTTTCCTCTGTCCATGTGGTAGTCTCAACAAGCTGTTTTCTTAATTCATTTTTTTTTGCTTTTGAATTTCATTTTTTTCTCTTATCATCTCACTGTCGTGATCTCTCTTCATTGTTGAGCTTCTTATCATCTCTCTAAATTTTTCATTTTCCTCTTTCATTGTTTTTATAACTGCAGGTACGTCTTCTCCTTGTTTTCTCTTGAATTTTTATTTTTTAATATCTAATGGTCGTTGTGATGATGAACCACCACTAGCATTTTCATCGCTTAAATTAATAGAAAAATTAGATAGTTCTGGATTAGGTGAAATGGGAGACTCGGGTTGTGCGTCTGATTGCGGTTGAGAAGAAAAGTGTTTCGCCTGGTTGATGTGCACTCAAACAATATAAAATCTTTCATAATATTCCACACATGCTCGTACTTGAATGATTTATTACTTTTATTTTTTGGGTTTTGCGAATAAAGTATATTCGCACGCTCCATCTACAATGTGAAAATAAATAACATTAGAAAATATAAAAATTTATCTTAAATATAAATAAATAATGCTTGTAAAATTTCTTATCACATCATGTTCAGAAGCTCCACTGATGTTTGCATTTTCAATTTGCTCTACACAAGATTTGAAAAGTTTAATAGCAGTATTGATAGTTCCCATGCCACATTGAATCGATCTTTGTGGACGATCAGGCCAGGTTGGATTGGATTTTGTAGAATTATACTCGTTCGTCACCCTGAGCCAGAATTGATCTCTACTTTGATATATGTCCACCTCTGGATCTTGAGAAATTTCAATATAAGACCGACATAGGTGTTGATCTTCATTCGGAGTATAGTTTGAACCCATAAGAGAAATTACGACAAGATAATGAATTTAAAACGTAAATTAGAAAATGATGAAGTTATATTTTGGTGGTACAACATTTTGCCTCACCATGTATCATATTTATAGTATATTTCATTTCCATTGATAAGAATCCTACAGTTGACATTCATGATAGGAAAATCTGAGTTAACAGCTAAGATTTAAAGTTGTGGATTTCCTTATCCACATATCAACCGTAGGATTCATATCTAAAGATTTAATTGCTAAGATTTAAAGGTGTAGATTTTCTTATCTACATCTCAACCGTAGGATTCTTATCTAAAGATTTAATGGCTCAGATTTAAACGTGCAGATTTTCTTATCTGCATCTCAACCGTAGGATTCTTATCTAAAGATATAACGGCTAAGATTTAAAGGTGTAGATTTTCTTATCTACATCTCAACCGTAGGTTTTATCTAAAGATTTAACGACTAAAATTTAAAGGTGTAGATTTTCTTATCCATATCTCAACCGTAGGATTCTTATCTTAAATATTTAACGGCTAAGATTTAAAGGTGTAGATTTTCTTATCCACATCTCAACCGTAGGATTCTTATCTAAAGATTTAACGGCTAAGATTAAAAGGTGTAGATTTTCTTATCCACATCTCAACCGTAGGATTCCTATCTAAAGATTTAATGGCTAAGATTAAAAGGTGTAGATTTTCTTATCCACATCTCAATCGTAGGATTCTTATCTAAAGATTTAACGACAAAGATTTAAAGGTGAGATTTTCTTATCTACATCTCAACCGTAGGATTCTTATCTAAATATTTAACGGCTAAGATTTAAAGGTGTAGATTTTCTTATCCACATCTCAACCTAGATTTAATGGCTAAGATTAAAAGGTGTAGATTTTCTTATCCACAGCTCAACCGTAGGATTCTTATCTAAAGATGGCTAAGATTAAAAGGTGTAGATTTTCTTATCCACATCTCAACCATAGGATTCTTATCTAAAGATTTAATGGCTAAGATTAAAAAGTGTAGATTTTCTTTTCCACATTTCAACCGTAGGATTCTTATCTATGAAAATCAAGATTAAACGGCTCAGATTAAGAGTTGTAGATTTCTATATCACTATTTATACATAGATCTTAACAGAAAGTATTCATTCGTAAACTCTTGCATTTTTCAAAAAAATATGAATCCCAATCGCATTGGTACTTCTTATGCATTTTCTTCTTCAAGTTCATCTGATGATGAACTTGAACAATTACTAGATAGTTATGATACAGAGCAAACTCTGATAGCACAACAAATTTACAACAATAATATTCTTGTGCAAGAATTTCTTAGAACTCAACAAGGCGGTCAAAGCCATGGAGGTTCAGTTCCTGGTCGAAAAATAATATTTCGCGATCGAGAAGCAGCTACAAATCGTCTATGTCATGAATATCAGAGTTTAATTTTCGCAAAACCTTTTAATAAAAATTACTGATTAGTTTGTGAAATCGTGTTTCGGAGTGCTACCGTAACAATGACTTTACATGGAAAACCGTTAATTTAGTTTTTAAGAAAAACGGTTTATCATAATATAAACAATCCGACTGGTAAATGGATCCAAAAGACTAAGTTTGGCAAACCGTCAAAATCAGCGGAAAACGTAGCATGGCAAAACATTTTAAACTCCACTATTGGAGATAGTAACAGCACTGCTATGCCAAATTCAAACATGTAAACAAAATTCTGAACCAACCGTCAGCTCACTCCTCGGCTCCGACTCTGTGACCTGAAAAACATAAATAACATGGGGCGTGAGCACTAAAGTCCACTGTTCTCCGTAGGAACACATACTAAAGTAAACAGTGAAAATAATAACAATATCATGATCCTGGCATATACATAACCTGAACTGAAACCGATACTGAATAATCATAACTTGATAATCATCACATGACCGTTACCTCATCTGCCAGCATAAAAATGTCGGACACCATGTGCACACTCTAGTGGGCAGATTAAGGCCACTAGAACCCAGAATGGACCGACGACCATTCCAAGCGGCTACATGACATGATAATACATACCTCAAACATGGTAGAGTAATTATAATCAATGTAATACCCAGTCTGAGTCCCCACCTGATCCGTCAAATGAAAAGGTAGTGCTGATAATCGTAGCCTGATCAAACTGAAACATAATATAAACAATTAC